TAAGATTAAGATTAAGCTTAAGATTAATAATAAGATTAAGATTAAGATTAAGGATACGATTAGGATTAAGATAATTGTTCATTACTACACAGAAAAATATTCATTTAATGTGGGACACTATTCGGATAATAGGAAGAAGTTTCAACTCATGCTCCTAAGCAAGCATGTAGAAGCTTTTCTGCACCAAAAAAAATATTTTGAAAAAATGTTTATTATATTTGTTTGGCGGCTAGGACTCGATATATTTTTTGTTTATTTATATATATAATCTGTTCTGCTCCCTACTTTAATAGCTTATGCTTGAGTTCTTTAGTTTTTTCACGAAGAGTTTACCGTAAGAATCAGTTCTTGGGTCTCGTTTCGAAATTGACTGCCTAATTATAGATAGGATGCATGTCGAAATCGAGTCATCTGAAATGAAAATTTCATCGAATTAATTGTCATACAATTCAAGCACTGAAAATAAGGAGATGCGAGTGTTGCCAGAATTTATTTTCAAAAAAACTGCGAATTCCCTAAAAAAACTGCAAACCTCAAACACGGCTTTTAACCGTATGATTCGAATGCAGCTGACTCCTCTTCTAAATCACAGAACTTCGTAAAACTTAAGTCTGACAGATCCTTGAAATAGGCTGGGGAATTTTTCACCTTTTCGTTTTTCAGTCGTGCCTACAACTGCGACAGTATTAATACATTTAAATCTCGATAACGTGGTGGCCAGTGAGTGCTCTAAGTTGAGGGCGTGCCTACACTTGTCACACTACTTAGTTGTATATTTGCCTTACAGATCACTAAGACTATTTCTACATTCGATTTCTTTTTTGGTTTTTGAAATGATTATGCAACACATCAGAGCTTCTAACTATGGCGGCCTGACAATCTGAGCAAATAACAAGCGCCGGCATATAAAGAATTATATTAATCAGCTTAATATCCAAATTCTCGCTCCATGATTTAGCCTAGAGCAGTCGATTCGTGCCTAGAAGGAGTCCGTGTATTTAACCTATTGATTATATGATGGTATAGTAGGAATGATTTAGTCTATGCGCTTCAGACTTTTTTTAAGATTTTCTAGAATTTTTGAGTGGTTCTTAAGCCTATTGGAATAACTTTGTCAGAACATTTTGTCTGACTGTGCGTTTACCTGCCTGTAGTTTAAAGGAAGAGATTAGGGCGAGTTTTAAGGACTCTAGCAAGGAGGAGGAATATATAGTTCGTATCCCTAGCAGAGTACAAAAAAATCCTACACAAAAGTGCCGAAAATTCTACACACCTCTTTGTGATAAGTTTTACATGGCACTCGTGAAACTTTTTTGTAACCAATTTGGAAGAAGCGATTTATGTACAACACTTGAGAAAGATGGATGGATAGTCTTGAGGTGGTCTTAACTCATAAGAGTACTACCTTGTTATACAAATCTGACCGAAATGGTGCTAATCTGGAATCGAATTACTGGTTCAATATGAATACAACTCCTTGATATATGAATATACATCTTCAATAGCAGCCAGGATAGCTAAACCAGTTCCTGAACAAAATGTTGAGGGTTCCCAAAGGAGTTGCGAAACTCTAGCCCAAACATAGATACATAACCGTCCAAAGTACAAAGTTTACTCTGTTTATGCATAACGCAATCCATTTATGTAACTCGAGCTAAGGCCGGAAAGAAGCAGAAACCTTTCATCTTCTTGTAGACGGGGTGTGCAATCAAGGTTGCAAGCATATGTATATATGACGGTCACACTTATGAGTTTCTCCTACAAAAAGTGAACATGCAACAACCTCACAAGTTTTCTGCGGTACCAACTGAAATTGAAGGCAACATGGGCATAAACCACCTCAGAGGCCGATAGCCCGGAATTCAATGCGTGAAATACGCATATTCACCAAAAAAGTGATGGTGATCTCGATGGTCGTACAACAAGTGGAAATCTTTTCAAGCATCTTCCCAGCGGAATTCTATGCCATCAGTCTGTGTGCTGAGATCACTCTTCGCAGGAATTACCGAAGTGAGAAGGTACTAATGTGATGCGATCAAATCCTCAGTGGTCGTAGTGGCTGAAAATAATGCTATCCAATAGCTATGGGTATGAGGGCACATGGGAGTCGATGGAAATGACTGCTGTCTCGACCTCGATAGCTCTTCCTTTCAACGTTCGGTCTGAAAGGCTATTCATGGGTCTCCCTAAGGAAAAACTAAGAATAATTAAGTACATGATGGATCTACACGACAATAGTACGACCCATGATAGCTTATGGAACCATCGTTTGGGCCTATAGAACTTCACAACTTGGAGCAATCAAAGTGCTCTCCAAGCTACAAAGGCTGGCATGCGTATGCATAACGGGAGCCATGAGAACCTGTCCAACCGCATCCTTGGAGGTTCTTTTAGATCTTATCCCTTACTTCATATTCACATACAGACTCAGGCGAAAAGAGCTTTACTACGGATGACTGGTACCAATATCGGGGCAGCAGGGTGTCTTAGTCGTGGAAAGTTGCATATTCTTACGAATAAGTTCCCTGAAATTGCAATACCGAGGAATACCATGCATCCGAGGTTCAGCTTTACAAAGAGGTTTAAGACTGATCTGTAATAAGAAGAGCTAGGCAGGCATATCCGAGACACATCGGATAAACCAAAACGTGTAGGGGTAGTTGGACCGAGGTTCAGATACTCGGAACCCATGGGAAAGCATATGTATATTTTCCAGGCTGAAACATACGCCACAGAAAAAGGTACGCGGACTTTAATATCAAGCGAAACTACCGAAATGAGAACATCGCGATCTTGACTGACAGCCAAGCGGCTATCAAGGCCCTCAGATCTCACCAGGTAACATCTAAACTGCTGATGGAGTGCCTCAACAAGCTGAATACTCTTGGTCTGATCAATCAGGTTTGGCTTCTCTGGATCCCGGGATTGCCGATAAACAAGCGAAGAAAGGTGCATCAACCCCTTTCACCGGCCCAGAGCCTAGAGGAAGAGTCTCAGAGGAATCGCTACTGGTATAATCTACCAGGTCTAGAGCAGTTCAAAGCACTTTTAGGAACATATAATCTAAAACGCTTCAAGGAATGTATGAGCTTATCAAAGAATAACTGAAGAATTGTTACAGGAATCTTGACAGGACACTGCAGGCTGAACTATCCCTTGCCTAAACTGGGAATTTACTCGCATGAGCGATGCAGATTTTGCAGGATGGAAAACAAGATTGCACAGCTCAGCTTAGAAGAATGTTCTGCACTGATGCATACACGCAAAAGGCACCTGGGTGAACATCTGATAACCAAAGGCGAAGTGAAATCCGTAGATTTAGGTTCCATACTAAAGTTTCACTCGAATACTGGATTAATAGACACACTATAATCCATGAAGGGGGCACAATAGATCTCAAGGTCGCAGTAGTCTATCCCCAATAATAATAATAATACATGCTCTTTAGCGGGCCATTGTAGGCCAAGAGGTCACTTGTATAATCGAGGTACCTGGTCAAGCGACCTTTATTGCTTCTTTTACTCAACCAAGGATACACCATTACACCTCCTTCTAAAGTATGAGGTCGTTTACGTAGAAGGGAGTAGTATGATAAAGAGAGGAGCACATACACTCCCTACCCCCGATATCGAAATTTATAGATTCCCTAGGGCTAGCTAGGTGGTGAGGAGCTGAGGACAAATTAGAGACTCTCTAGTTAAGTCTATTAAAATCAGAAATCTTACAAAACTCATGGTCTATGATCAGATATCTAATACATCTGATGCCAAGATATTTATTTGTCCAGCACAAACGACACGGAGCCTCAACGTGTCCCTTTTATAATGACTTAGGCTAGGCTAAGCTAAGCTTAATATTCTGTCGATCCCCATATATCTTATTTTTAGGAAAGCTTTTATTTTCTTACACTTATAAATATTGATTTTCGCAGGACCGCTATAAAAAAAAAGAGTTTAACAACGGTGATTTGGCAGATTAATGTAAATCTCACCGAGAAATAAAATGACATTGATTTTCAAGTTCCTAAAACTTTTCTGCGCATTCGATCGATGTTTTGCTAAAAGTTTGAAAACATTTTAATTGAATATAACAAGAAAAAAAATAGTGATGTGATTCAAAATAGCTGCAGTCAACAGCGAAAGCAATCAACGTAACAATGCAAAATTTGCAAAATCTGCCAAAGTTTAAGCTGTGAAAACCGCCAGCGAAAAACGCCAACAGAAATTAACTATTTAAAGTTCCCAACACGAGTAGCGTATCAGCTTTCAATTTGATGTAAAATACGTCGTGATTTGTCTGCTAAGCGTCGAAAAGTTCTTGTGCTACTGCTGTTGGCGACGCTAAAGCTAATTGCAATGGCTATGATGCATGCAACACGGGCGCTTGTTATTTCGCAGTGAAAAATCGGGGAAGTGAAAGCGAGTGGCGTGAAGTGAAGTGTTTTTTTTTTTAGTGTGCGTTTGCAAGTTTCGCGCGAAAGCTGAGGCTTTTTAGGAGCACCAAAAAAGTAAGCAGCAGCAAATAGCCAAATTCTGCAAAAGTTTGATTGGCTAAATTTGTCGTCAAAATTAAGGGAAATCAATATGAAAATAAGGTGCTGAGAAAATTTAATTATGGTGAAAATGCAAATAAAATTTGTAAAAACTTAAAAAAATATAGTGCTGATATAAAGATTTAATTTAAATATCAAAATGCTTTAAAAATTTAAATCACAATTAAAGAGGATTAACGAAATTTGTAAAGCAACAAAGCAAAAGTAAAAATACCAGGGTAAGCGCAAAGAGGGCTTCACCTTACACCTTCGACCACAACAGCTCAAAGCTCGCACACTTACCCCCGCTCGCTGTACGACCGACCAAGCGCTTGCCAAACTGGATTACAACACAGATAATAACGGACCATGGGAGAAGAATCCTGCTGTCGCCGTGAGTGCTGCTGGCAGCACCGGCGGCAGTATTGGAGGCATTGGCGGCGGCGCAAGTGGCCCTGGGTCGGGCACAATGACAGCAGTGACAAGTGGCGCCAATGCGCTTGGCATTACAACAACCACCACAGCAACAGCCACACCAATAGCCAACACTGTCGGTGCTGGCATTAAGCCACTGCAACAGCAATTACAACAACAATTGCTGCAACAGCTGCAACAAAGGCATATGCAACAACAACAACATCAACAACACTTACAGAGCGCAGTCAGCGCTGGCGCTGGCAGTGTCGTCTCAGTTGGTGGCACCAATAATTCTGCCGCTGGCGGCCATTCGCATTTGCATGCCACCCACTCACATCCGCATCAACATACACACGCCCATACACATGGGCATGCACATCAGCATGTACACCATCAAGCAGCTACTGTTGCACTATTGCAGCAACAGCAAAAACAACTGCAACATCAACACTCGCATCCGCCATTGGCGCCACATTCACATCCACCGCTACAGCATCATGTTTCACTTGGCGGTGCTGGTAGTCATCGCTATCAGACGATGATGGCCGCTGTAGCACAACAACAACAACAACAGCAGCAGCACCAGCTGCAGCACCAGCAACAACAACAAACAATGCAGCAACAACAGCAGCAGCAGCAGCAAGCAATGCAACACCAGCAGCAGCACCATCATCATCGCCAACACTCTACACCGCAACATCATCGCTCTGCATCACAACACTCTGCCGCCACTTTAAGGCGTCGCACACTCTCTCACGTTTCACGTTCTTATTCAGCATCAGCAGCCGCAGCGGCCGCCGCAGCAGCAGCTGCTTCCTCCAATGCAAATGCAAAGAACAATGGTGGCGTGGGCGGTAGTGGTGGTGGTGGTGGCAGCAGCAGCATACATGTAAGCACCAGCGTAGAGCGATCGCGTTGTCGATCACCGATGATGTTATGCCACAGTCACAGCGATGGCGAGTTTCCCATGTATAAAGGTAAGCGGCTCTAAAGCTTAGCGTACACAGAGCGTTCATAGCCGAGCTGAGGTGAAAACACTTAGATGGTTCACAAGGTGTCGTAAGTGTCTTACTGTCATATTTGTGAAGTTTTTAACGGCTATATAAATAAATGTTTACAGGACTTCAAACCAAAACCAACTTTTTTTTTTTTAAATTTCAGTTTACAACACCTTGTGAACTCCCTAACTATTTGTTTGCTCTCCTAGCGCTTATTAGCCCAGCTCTTAGATCAGCTATAAGCTCTCTGTGCGCTTTCATTTTCTACCAGGTTTCGACTGTGACAGGTTTCACTGTATATTCTATTTAGCTAGTTACGCATATAACAGTTATACTTTTATCCCTTTCTGTCTTTTAACTTGATTGTTGTTAGTTATCAAGATAAGATATAACAGAATAAGTTATACTGCGATATAAAAGTGGTATCACAAGGTCTTACCTTGAATGACCAAAATACTTTAAGCTGTCCTTACAAATACTTGGTAAATACTTGTACACCTTCTTCTTCTTCTTATTTGGCGCTGTAATCGCCAAAGCGATTTTCGCCGAGTTCAACAAGAGCCGCCTCATCGGACGTTGTCATTGGCCATGCTTCTTCTGCGCCATATACCAACGCGAGCATGATGAGTGACTTATATAGAGTGTGGTTTTCGTACGTCGAGAAAGGACTTCAATCCTTAATTGCCTGCTCAGTGCAAAGTAGCTCTTGTTGGCAAGAGTGATTCTGCGTTGAAAATATTGTCCAAACTTTAATCAATCCTATGTAAATCAAAGTTTCAGACTGTATAAAAAATTTAGGAAAACTCAAAAAAACTTTCATAAAAATTTCAAACCTTTTATTCGGAATCTTTAGAATAGATTGTTCCTAAAGTTCTTTCGCATTTTATTAAATGAAAATTAATGCTTTTATGGAAGAAAGCGGAAAAAACCAACAGCAAAAAAAAATTTAAGTTTGAAACTTTTATTTACATACCGTATATGATTGTGGTTGAAGAATGGAAAACATTTTTATAAAAAAAAAAATAAGTGCGCCTGGGCCACACTGGAGAAGTGAAACTTGTTAATTGTAATTATATTTATGTTACTCTGTTTCCTTTATCTGTATACTCTATCGATAACAAAATCGATAGTAACATCCATCAAAACATCGATAACAAAATCGCTACAAATATCGATAACAAATACGGTAAAAATATCGATAGCAAAATCGATAACACTATCGACAGAAAAATCGATAACAAAATCAATAAAAATGTCGATACGAAAATCGGTAAAAGTAGCGATAACTAAATCGATAAAAATATCGATAACAAAATCGACAAAAACA